CCCATTTTTGAACTGTCACAAAAGATTGTTAAAGTTAACAGATTTTACTAATAGACCAATCAATGTGTAAAAATAAAATGATGCTGGCCAGCTTTCTGAAGTAATTTTTACACCCTTGTAACTTGGCTCCAAATCTCAGGTGAAAATTTTAATTTTTACCCCCCTCTACAAAATCATGGATTACTCAGTAAATACACATTTGTGAAATTTCATATTTTGGCTTTCATCACTATACATATTTAGTGTATAGCTATACATATTAAATCAAAAATTTGAGCCGGGGACCTCTGGTTGACTTGACAAGGAATGACCCTGTTGTTTTTGTTCGATTGATTGATTTCTTGATTGATTGCTAACCTTGGAGGCTATCCTTTAGAAACGTATGTAACAGAGCTGGATGCTGGAAGCTTCTAATGACAGTGGTGAGTGTGATTAAATACAAATGGACTGGACAGAGAAGATCATAACCCATAAATGAAGTAGCGATTTAGAAATGTTCATAATACAGTTGTTTACCAATTTAACTCTATAGTTTACCCATATAACACATATAAGTGATATAATTCACAACATAACAGATATACTTAAAAGAGTTCCAGTTGCAATAAAAAAAAATTAAAAAAAAAACTTGGTTTCACTTTTCGATATGTAGCTATAAGGTAATTTGACAAAGCCCTTTTTTTGTTGTTTGTTAAATATAATTCCTGATTATGCTCAACCAGAGGCTGCATATTTGTTATATTAAGGGGTCTTGTTTGTAAAAGCAGTCAATTAAAAAAAAAAAAAAGTCTAATTCAGCTTGTGCTTTGTTGCTGTAGTCGACAGCGCCACCTAGTGGTTAGGGGGGTTGGCTGTGTACTTGCAGAACTATAATTGCAAACAGCCGCGTAAGCTACTGGAACAGGTCTGACACAGAAATATAAGCTATCAGACAACTATTCATACATGCTACATGTTCCTTCATACAAATGAAAAGTGAAATGACACAATGCGTAAATGCTAACACAGCTTACCTTCATTTGTTCATTTGGAAAATCCAAGGAGTATTTCTTCAAGAGCTCTTGCAATTCATTCTTCACAACCTCCCACAACATTCCAGGCTCTGGAAAGACATACCATTATATATATTGTCACAATCTCTCTCTGGGAGGAAACGAGGAATGAGGAGTCGCTGGAGTAACACGGACAATAGTCTTTAATAATCCAAAGGGAACATGGAGGACATTCAACAAGTAGACCCGACAAACAAGAACTGAAAGGACTAGGGCCTTTAAAGACAGGATAATTGGGGAGGAACGAGACACACCTGGGATCAAATAAACACAATTAACAGGAGACGGAAACTGGGTCACGGAGCAAAACCACACACAAAACACGGGACAGAGTCTGACATAACGCCCCCCTCCTCACACCACATAACATCCAAAGGGGAGGGGGTTCCGGAGGAGGATGGATATCTGGGAGGAGGCCGGCAGACAGAGACCAGGAAGGCGATGAAGGAGGGAGGAGCCAGGGAGGAGACAGGAGGAGCTTGGAGCAGGAGGAGTCCAGCTGGACCCAGGCAACAGCCATGATGTCGACCCCCAGGGGGCCGAACAACAGAGGCGGAGCAGGTGGTGGAGGAGCCAGAGGCGAAGACGGAGAGCCAACGAGCCAGGGAGATGCCGAGGATCCGAGGGGCCAGGGTGTTGAGCCGAGGGTTCTGGCGACCGAGGTGGAGGCGGAGATCCGGAGATCCGCTGCGGAGCCGGAGCGACTGAGGACCAAGGTGGAGCTGGTGGGAGGAAGGAGCCCAACGGAGCCGGTGGGACGGGGCAACGAGGCGCAGCCAGAGGAGAGGAGTCCAGAGGCGATAGTGGGTCAACCCGGCCACTGCCGATAGGGGGTGTCGTGGGTGAGAGTGAGGAAGCGGTGCTATGCTCACTGTCAACCCACGAGCCTAGCAACCCAGAGGATAATGAAACTGCTCTTTCTTTGACAATGTGGTAACCGCTGGCCATTGAGCCAATGGCGGAACAGAAAGAAAAAGATTCCCCGCCCGGCCCTCCTCCGGGGGAAGGAGCGGTGCTGTCCTCAGCACCTCTAGAAGAGCAGTCTCCCACATCTCCGGGTTGCCCGTGTCAGGGCCGCTTCGTCATCTTCCTAGAGAATCTAGCGGCCGGATGCGACACGGGGGGCGCCGCTCTCCTGCGTGGGGCTCGACGCGCCGGCCTGCTGCAGAAGGGGTGAGAGATCCGTGGGGCGTGGCCCGGCGGAGAAGCTCTCACTGTCACCCTCAAATCTCCCAGAGCACTAGCTGGCGGTTCTCTGCTCGTGGATGAGAAACCGGGACGGGTAGTGACAGAGGGGTCTGCTCCTTTCCCTTTAAGAACGGAGAGACGCGATCGCAGCGTTGCCATGGT